CTGCAGACATTTTCCATCTCACCTTTGGACATAAGGGACTTGTTGGCTTATGCGGACATTATCTCGAGTACTTTGTTGTGAAAGGCAAACGCAGTGTTTCGTTCGATGACTGGACGAAACACACTATTGTTGATTTACCCATATTTGTAACGGGACAGGCAACTTACTATTCTATCATTCGAGCACTCAGACACCTTTCGGTGACTCAGACGAGGATTCTTGGCCTGGTCCTCCGCGATGGAACCCATATAGCTTTTCGGGTGAGTCTTGTTTCGCCTTTGTTCTATGATGCATTTAGGCTGATACATTTTCCCTACCGTTGATCAAGGACGATGATGATGTGAAGTTCCTACTAGCGGAGGGAATGGTAATAATTCAGAAACAACTGAATATTTAAGAGGTTATAATCCAGTGTTCCGCACCCCTTCTTCGGAGCATGATGCTTTCACACATAAGTGGGCCTAGAGTCGACCTAACCGAAAATGTGCCAGATGTTAATGTTCTTGATGTACAGTGGTTGCTGGAGCGTACCATCGAAGTGAGTAGTTGTGGAAAACGTTTGCATCAGGACAAAACACATTTAATTGACTATATGCTTCGTTTATGCAGAACCTATCCATTCAGCATATATTCTCTGAGCAGACCGCCAATGCAAACAGCTATCCGTCTGACTACGCGTTTCAGTTCGAATTTATCACAGTCTTCAAGTGCCTGCTTTCTCGGGCCCATCCACATCTTCTCTACCGCGTTCTTCCCGAGGCGAAAGAGTTTGATGAAGATGGTAGGTGGCATCAGCGACTAGACATACTTCTTCGTAATGGCAACCAACCTGCATATGGATTTGAACTCGTCGTTGCGGCGAGTAGGACTGAGTTTGACAAACACTGCGTACGTGCTAACGAGTACGGTCGAAACCATAGCTGTTCCATGTACATGGTGAATCTCTGCGCCAACGAGAAGCTGGCAGGGTACTTTGGACCGAGAAACGTAGCGATTACTCCAGTACATGTGATTTTAGATGTGAAAAGGGAAGTTGCACATCTGGTATTTGAAAACAGAAAAAAGTCTGTGTCAATCAAGGGTGGTGCGTGGCAAGTGGTCTTTGAATAAATCCTCGCTTATTATTACATGAGCGAAGTCTGGACAAACGTATAGCTTTTTGAGTCCACTAACTCTTATGGAACTTTCACCAAGGGTATCTCAGGTTTGACTGTATTTGCATTTAAGGTCTGTTATCTCGTGTATTGCATTTCAACAAAGAATTCGTTGCATTAACAAAATATTACAGAAGTATGTAAAGAATAATGAACTGCTCCCCTACTTGCATAGATTCCGCAACATCATTATACGGATAAAATGGCAATAGACATTGACGCAGTTATTAGGGTGTTTGACATGAAGTAGCTATTCAGCTTGTGAGGAAAAAGGGAAGGGGATATGGACTAGTTACAACACACTTTTAATTCTTTATCATGCGAATCGTGATTTTTTGCTTCTTCAGGTGCAATGGTACAAACTTGCTGTCAATTTATTGCTTTTGATGTATCAGGTGAGTTTCTGCTAACAACAATGTATTTGAGTACCATGATTAAAATTAGCATGTCATTAATATAAATGAATAAAGTAAGAAACGCTATTGCTCAATAATAATAAGGAAATTAATGGTGTTGTTTGTATAAATTATCATCTCGAACGAGGACACTTATAATTTACGCGTACATAGTAAAGACAACAATAAAATATGTACGTAAAAATCATAAATCGTGTGATTATATTGATTGCAAGTGCGTGTAAGAACACCCTTACATATTGCCCTTCTTTTTTCGTTTTTTGAAAATAGCTTATCACAAATAGTAAATCGAAAGAAACTCCGTAAAAATAAACAAAACTATTAACCATAAAATTTACATAGGATTACCCGTATATGGAAAATTATAATTATAGCGGTTCGACTGAATATGAAAAAGCCGTTTCTTGGAGATAGGTGCAATTGCGATTGTTCAAAAGCGATTCCGCGAGAAAAGCTTGCCGAATTACGTGAAGCGCTCTAGATTGGAACAAGATATATTTTTAATGGCGCAGTTGAAAGCAATAAATGGTGGGGAGATAACTACCAGCCGACATCTTAAAGAGCAAATGCGTACCAATAAGTGAACGTTTTACTACTGAGATCGCAATACGCCGCTTTGTCAAAAAATGTATGCTAATATGTTAGGAATTGGTCGCAGCGAATGCTATAATTTTTTGTTTCATCATGTGTTGGTGTTAATATTAATGCTCATTTATTGTTTATGATTTTCGTTCTTGTTGGTAAGTTTCATAATAATAAGTTATTTTTTCTCGATCTAGATATTTCTCGAGAACTTTGGTAACATTGAATTTGAAAACATAGGGAGCAATTTTTTCACCTTGAGCTTTTTTTCAAAATACTTCTAATACTTGGGTTCCATGTTGATTTGATGTAAATTCGTTTCATATTATATTTTTATATAGAGATAATCCTATATATTAACCCTGTTATGGTTTATATTCATCACATTCTGGTATGATAAAGTGAACATTAAATTAATCAGTCCATAAGTTATGAATGAGCACCATTATTACTTTTCAAAACGTCAGTCACACTGGTCAATTTTACAGCCACATCATAATCAGCCCCTCATTTATACGGGGCATACTGCAACAAAACCAGACAAAGTGAACATTTGATTAAATAATGATGTGACTAAAATTGAGGAATATAAACCATAACAGGAGTAATATTAATATAGGATTACCTCTATTACTATATAAAAATAAAGTATATGAAGCTAATTTACTATTACATTAAATCCACCATGGAACCAAAGAATTACAGCACTATTAGAAGCATTCTAAAAAAAACTCAAGGAGAGAAAATTGCTCCATACGTTTTTAAAACCAATGACACCCAAACTCTCCAGCAATCTCTAGATCAAGAAAAATTTACTTATGAAATTTATCAAGAGGAACGAAAAATTATAATGAATTAATCTCAACTTATGATAAACCAAAAAAGAAAAAAAGCCTGGCAGAATAAACAACCAAATTATTGTTAATCATCATCCTCTTCTTATTGTAATCCAAAGGAGGCGGAGTTAGAACCAAAATAGAAAAAGATTTAATTTCTTTGGTAATTTCAGCAACATTTGCTTTTCTGGTTTTCAATAAGTTAAATTTAGTATACGAACCATTAGCAACCAGCTGAGCTTTGACGACTCCTGGATAAGCTGTTTCGAATACAAAATGCTGATATTTTTGTAAACCACTCAATTTCTTAAAGAAAATTCCCAACATCGAATTAAGATCTAAATATTGGAAGCTGTCATAACGCTGGGCCTTGTTTAATCCAGCTGTACTCGATTTTTTTCACAATCTCAACAATATGATCCACACAATCTACAGTCGTTTTGCGGTATAGTTTCTTAATTAACCCAAAACTACCATCACACTTAAATTCGGTATGTCCAACTGCTTTCCATAGTACAGTTGGCGATTTGACCAATAGTAGTACGTAGAAATGTGAATAAAAATGGTTTGGCTTACGGCCAATTCTCTAGCCATTGATCGAGCACCCACATTGTCCATCGAACAGCTAGCTGATTTAGTAGATGTACAGAATTGAAAACAAAGCTTCGGATAAAAACCGTGTTTCATTATGGAGATCGTGAAAATCATTGCTCATCCAAACAAATTCTTGGTATTGACACGTTTTTAGTAATATTTACTGTAAAAATTTGAAATAAAAAGGGTAGACCATCAATTCAACCCAATTAAATGGCCGAACATGACGTCTGCCTGTTTACTTTGTCTGGGTTTAATAAACATGTCATTGTGCAGACATACTATAGACTCGATTAGATAGTTACACATCCAACATATACGTTTTATGTTCAATTATCTCATCTTTATCAGGTTAAGCAAGTCTGCATTTTTCAGTTTTTGAACAAAAAGGTGTTAATAAGCCGATTTACCATACTAAGTGTAAAAGGTATTACCGTTATATTATATATTATATATAGCTGTAGTTGTATGTGTAACAATCTATTACCACCGCAGCTTATAGTATATGGAGACTACCGATGAAAAAATTTTCATATGCTTGCATAAACGTATGACTAATCAATTGCAACTCCGGGGAGACTTTTTTGTTAATTTTTTCTTTGCTTGTGGAATGAAAGCGCATGGGTCGACTAGTTCAAGAAAGGCATTATACCCCCTCAACTGCCACTGATTAAACTTTACACAGATGATCCGATAAATTCGTACACGTCTTTCGTATTAATATTAACGATTAAACTTGTAGAACCAATTTCTTATTAGGGACAATCACCTTATTGTACAACACAAAGATTTGCTGTTTCCATCCCCAGAGTCGATCTCGTGACCCAAAGAGTTGCCAGCCCGATAACAGCAGATTACATGCAACAAGCATATAAGTAAAGATTAAGCAGATCTGTAGAATGTGAGTACAGCGACCTGCATATTACAACAATGGCTATTCTTTGCTCCAGACTGCGTGTATTTCGTCTGATTGGCACTTTTGCAATTCCCCCGCTATTCAATGCAAGCTTGCTGCCAATAAACAATCGTCCATGTATCATTTTAGGTGTTGTAATAAATGTCGTACGATCGATTGAATTCCGGAAAAGTGTACTCTTTGATAGAAACCGCGAGATGCTCGCCTGATGCTCTCACCCTAATATAAAAGTATAAAATGGGATAATGAACCGATAAAGTCATCAGCATAAAGCTTTCATGATATAATAATTCATTTACTTAATTAAACAAAAATCTTTCGGACAATTCTATTTATTATTATTATTATTATTGTCATTATAATTATTGTTATCGTCTTCTAAAAACGGTTTTCCTACTGCCTTTCCACTTTATTATTTTCGCCAAGAAACGTTAGTAAAGAATTAGACTAGTATATTTGCACAGTAAAAAAAATAGCCAATAAATTCTCTCCATAAACAACCATGTTTTCAAAATTTCTATCCAAATTCGCTCTTCCAACCTTCCACCTGAATCATTCCTCTTCCACTCTGGTCGAGACAGTATATCCTGCCCCACCACTACCTTCCCGGACTATTCGATTTAGCATGATATCGACTGACGCATCCGAATCAGAAGTAAATTCGTGGTCTCCAGTGGACGAAGCGCCAACTCCTACTGAGATTAAAGAAATAATACCCTTGTTATCCATAAACGCTGAACATGAGACACACAGAGTTGCATTCAAGACATTGCAGCAATGTATCGATTTGTTAAGAACATTGCCAAGCGATGAAATTTATACTAGGGAGAGCAAGTTTGTGCCCAAGAGCACTATAGGAAAGCACGTTAGGTATGGCAACGTTTGAGGGTTTTTTGATATTACTTTATAGAAACCGGGGGATAAAATTTTAAAGAAACAGGCGTTTAAGAGTAACTAAAAGAGTAGCAAGACTGTCACTATTTGTTTTTAGACATTTTTTTCTTGCTGCCTGCAAAGACAACATAGAATTGTTTCTATCTGGTTTTACACAAAATTTTAATCAACATTTTCTTCGCTTCAGGCACGTATACGATCACTTCCGACTATTATTCGAAAAGATACCGCACGTATCTGATGGCACCGACAGTGCATACTCTTCTGTATCTTCAGAAAAACTGAATGTCGATTGGCAAGTAGACTACGATAATAGGCTACGAAATGTAAGCTTATCGACCATCGTCGATTTGTCATTTTATGCTATATTCCCATGATCGGACAATAGAATAATCAATATATATATATTCAGGTCCAACTAGAATTATCTCGTGCAGTGGCCATCAATCGCATGAAGGAAATACAACAGGCTATGATCAACGAGTATGTTAACATACCACTTGACACTACCGTTCGTCTCCAGGCCACAATCGATTCTAGCATGCAGCAGGAACCAGTAGGGTTACTTACGACTTATGGAAGAGAGTTGTGGTTTTGTTGTCATCATGCTGTAAGTAACATCTGAAAATAACTTGGTCTTTTGCTAGCTTTGTATTACAACCCGAGTCGGTTGACGCAATTATTACATATTGACTGGTTTGTTTTTGTTCAGATTCATCATTACGCTCTCATAAGAGTCATCTGCACTGAACTGAATATACACGTACCAGATGACTTTGGAATTGCCCCTTCCACTCTCAAGAGTCGCATGAAACAGTATTCGGAATAAACTCGCAAAGCAGTTACCGTGCGAGAATGCAAGAGGAACTGGAATGCTATATTTATATAAGAAATCACATCTCTGTATATAAAATTCCGATGTCGTAAATACGATGCCTTTATATTATTAAAGATTAGTTGTTGTGCACTTTCCAATGTTCTTTTGATTCTAGATTATATTTGTACACTATGATCTCTTGACATATACTTCGAACAATTGTACAATATTTTTTATTCAATAAGATTATATCATCAACATTTGTTCGCTTCCCAAATTCTCAAAGAATCACTCATTGAACGTTTTACGATACCGATATCTTTAGCTAAAGTTCAAAGGTCCAAGCAATTATTAGTTCCGCGTCTCGTAAAGATCGACAGCGTTTTATTGTAGCAACGTCTTGAGACGCAGGCTATTTATAACGCCTTGTTTTGAAAAAAAGCTTTTCATTTCAACTTTAACTAACTCGATGAGAATACTGGAGTGACTGGGCAGATGAAAATTCTTCGGACAGTTTCCAGATTGAAAAAAAGGGCTGTAATGTTGTTGGATACTTGTCTCGAGACATTGATTCGTGAAACGCGATTTGCCAGTTGATGTGTTTGGATATCGGTCCATTGAGACCTAATACCGGTATATAAATACAGTATGCTGAGAATGCACTGAATCACGGCAAACTTCCGCACGAATGCTCGTGATATTAAAGCGTGTGTTTCAACACTAATAAGAGTGAGTCGTCACTTTTATTGCGTTGACAATTGTCGAAAGAGATGCAAACAACTAAATACAACAATTCCTGGGCTGACAAACAAATGAGGCCTAGAGATCTGCACTGTGAATAAATAAAGGTCTATTATCCTTGTTTATACATTCATAAGATTCTCTTCACATGTCTCCCTTCATCTATTTGCATTACTTCATCATCCTCACTTTCTGAATCATCATTGGGATATAAAGTGTTCATTGGAAATCGGAGATTGGCTTTGAGCATGGCTGCCTTTCGCTTGGCTTCTCGATCTATCTCATCAAGATCCTACATAGATACGATGTTAGCATAGCATTGCAATACTCGCTTTGTTTCTAAACATAGCAACAATAAAACAAACCGTCTCCGAGTCTGAACTCAAACTCATAATATTTCCAAAGAGCAGCGATTTTTCTCTTGGGCGTGTTGTCGTAGGTGGAAGATAGGAGAAATTTGTGGGTTCCTCTTCAAACCCTAAATAAAATAATATTTATCACAAAATAACTATAAGAAGACTTTTGACCAGAGAAATTTTTGATAAACGAAAACTCACTTTTGCTTTTTATCAAAGACTCGATGTCTTCCATCTCAACGTCCTCAATAAAACCGCTTTTGCTGCTTATAGTCAATGTCTTCATATTCCTCAAACTCTCAGGTTCTAGTGACTTGTCGTCTGGCTTCACATCGGTAACTACCTTTTTGATCACTATGGCAATATCAGCAGCATATATCCTGACCAATGTCGGAGGCGGGTTACAACAAGCAAGCACCCCTGGTGGATCAACGGGCATTTTTCGAGATATCTCAAATAACATATGATTGGGAAGTACATATCTGTAATAAAAAACCAAATGTTACATAATACCAGTAGATTGTGGAAATGTTTATAAATTCACACTCACGTCACACTCTCATCCTCCAGTCTCGCTGTCTTGTCTCTCCATTCGTGTATTGCTTTGAACACGGCCAGCTTGTATGGATAATAGCCAGTAAGAAATTTGCGAGCAGCTTATCCTAAAATTAAAGTTTCTCCGTCTCACCTGTTGATTATCTAATATATGATTCCATTTTGCTAATAGATTCTTCCATCCTCTGAAACCGCTTCCGTTCTCAACATCATATTCCATTTTCTTGTAGACGGTCAATGAAGTCTCTCGCGATCTATCCAAGACCACTTGTAAAATATCCTTACCGGGTGCTGACCTGTCTATTAATTCGTGACGCATCCGATCATATATGTAGAGAAGATAATGAGTGTCCTCTCGAGCATATTTAATCATTTCTGCTGGAAGGGGACTGTGTGATGAAACGGACAAAATAATCGTCAATCCAATAATGTCGAAAAAACCCTCCTCCCTTTTTACTTTTTGGCCTGATACATACCGAAGCCGCCAATCCGCCAGTTGGTACTTTTTATCTGCATCAACGCCGCAGTAATGCTTTAGCAAATGTGCTAGTGAATGTTTGCCAAAATCCAACACATTAGATGCGTGAAACGTGTCAAATAAATTCACTATATAAACGCCAAAGTCTCTTTGAAGCCAAAGCACATCCATTTGTGCGCCATGTAGCACTTTTACAATATTTGGATCAGTGAATGACTGATTTAACCAATGCATAACGTGTCGTAGTGCTAATGCATCAATAATAAAGTCTTCTTGTCTTGTGCTTATTTGTACTAAACATGTTATTCCTTGATATGAGCGGTAGTCGTGATGTTCAAGATCTATAGCAATCTCTTGAGCAGCTTCTAACCGTCTGCATATCTCTTCTAATTGTTCCTCAGTCTCAACAAGCGTAAACGGCGTGTTCTCGAGTTTTTGAAATATTGACTCGGGAGTTTTATTTAACAAGTGTTGTGGGTATTTCATGTTATTTATCTCATATTCGTATGGATGCGTAAAACTTGTGTTTGAAAGATTAAAGTTAGAAGAAAAGCATACATATTAATATTTCTATTTTGTACACATCCGACTCTCACCAATCATCAGGTCCCGGATTATCGTAGTTTTTCAATGGTACAAGAGCATTAGGTTTTTCGCGTATCTTTGGAATAAAAGGCGCGTCCCCGTTATCGATCGTATCTCGAAACTTCATTTGGGGACGGAGGATCCCTTGAGCATACATTAAACCCCTGTCCAGCCAGTCCTTTTTTGCCTTTTAATAGAATAAATCTATTGTTTGGAACACATAAAATTGAAAGCGATAAATAAATAAGCTGCAAAGTATAGAAAGCACTGCTTACCACAACTGGAGTATTGGGAGTAGCTGTACCAGCGATCTGTTCGGCGCGTCCAGTAAACTCGTCAAGACAGACATCCTAACATAAAAAACAACGCACATACGGCATAAACAATAAGTATATTAGACTTTAATACGCGGTATTTGTACAATTCCTCTGACAAATCGTTCGTTCACCCCACTTACAACTCTCTCGAGCAAATTATCATTGAGATCTGCGACCGACGTGAACCTGTCCTCAACGTCTTCGAGATCAGCAAAAGACTGTATTGTACCGTCATATATCTCACCGGCTGCTCTAGTTATCAAGCTATTAGTGAGATGTAATAACTTTTCGCCAATTCGATCCAAGCTTTGCCGAAATTCACGATCGCACACTCGCTGAAACCGGATCTCCTCGCCCGACACCTTCTTTGCTGCCTCTTGAGTTCGTAGTAAACGTCGGTAGAACTCTATTTGATATCTGGAAAAGTCTTCTGTTATGTTTGGAATGTCAGCCATGTTTGTCAACTGTCTATTATCGTTACTGCTAACTAGACTCGTAAGCTTTTTTGAGAAAATTTGGTGCAACGTAAGATCACCACTGCGCGAATTTGATGGTAAGTTTTGATCGGAAGAGAAAAAAAAAATAACTTTTATGCAGGGAAGGTCTGGGCTAATTCCTATATCTAGAATGTTAATCGGGATAAGAAATACATCACTCTGCAAATACAAAAAAGTCCAAAAATTGAACATGACAATGCTGCAATCGGAAAACGATGAATCAATGCGTGAAGGAAACGGCAACGATAAGGAAAAGTCGGTATCAAGTGTTCAAGACGTGCGGGAAGCATCTCCTGCATTTGGAACTCGTACACTTGTAAACACTGACGATGTCTTTAATCATAACGCCTGGTGCGTAATAGCGTGATGTGCTTATATCATTACACTTATCGATTGACTAATAGTGATAGTTTTCCAGGGACAACGTAGAGTGGGATGAAGAGCAGGAGATGTATGCACGAAAGCAGATCGAAAAGCAAGAAAATTCTCGTGTGCCCGCAGGGGAACAAGGTAATAGTAATGAAGACGTTTTATTTGATACTTCTGGAAAATATTTACAAGAATGCAAACTGTCTTAGAAAAATACTTGGCTGAACCAGCAAGTTTCTGGGACGCTTTCTATGAGAAGAATGAGAACAAGTTTTTCAAAGACCGGCATTGGCTCAAGGTCGAATTTCCAGAATTGCATCAGACTACTTTGAAAGATGTATGTGGCGATATTGTTACATTTATAGAAATCATATCTATCAATGTTGATCACATGCATCAACAGCCTTTATTACGACTTTCTCGTGCAGGCTGGCCCCAAACGCGTCGTTGAGGTTGGTTGTGGAGCAGGAAATACCCTGTTCCCGCTTCTGGCTGTAAACCAAAACCCCGATTTATTTATTTATGCTTACGATTTTTCTTCAACGGCAGTCGAAGTAGTAAAGGTAATTTTTATCTTGTGCTTTCTCAATTACTGGCTTGCAGGAATTAACTTCCATATGATTTTGGTAGAGTCATTCAGAATACGATACACAGAAGAGCAAAGCTTTTGTTTGGGATTTGACAAGTGATAACATTCCGGATTGTGTGAATGCAGGATCGATAGACATTGTTGTGTTAATATTTGTATTTTCAGCATTGCAACCTCAACAATGGGCCAAGGCTGTAGAGAATGTATACAAGGTACATTTTAGCGCGAAATCGCTTCAGAGTAAACCAATTCGTTTCAATGCTGATGAGAGATATTTTTTGTTTAGATGTTAAAGCCTGGCGGATTGGTACTTTTCAGAGGTACAGTCAAAATTCCGAAAGATTACTTTTTTATGAAACTCTTTCCTAAGATAAATTGATCTCCAGACTATGGCCGATATGACATGGTCCAACTGCGTTTCAAAGAAGGGCGCATGCTATCTGACAACTTTTACATTCGTGGGGATGGAACGAGAGTTTACTTCTTCACTACAGGTATCGCAATATGCCATTACTCTTCAATTACTCTTTCTTTGTTTTCGTAAATGCTTCTTAACATGTATCCATATTACAGACGAACTAGATACAATATGGAGTTCTAAATTTCTAATTGAACAAAATGCGATCGATAAGCGACTGATTGTAAATCGACATCGAAGACTCAAAATGTATCGTGTTTGGTTACAAGGCAAATTCCGTAAAAGTTAATATGCCTTGTTGTATAAATAGTAGAATCTCATCTGAAACATATCTCCAAAGCTATAAACATTGAATTGTCGCCGTACATGTTGATCGCGCAACGTTAAGACTTTCCATTGGTATCAGGAATGTAAACGTATGCCGAAGCGTAACTCACGCTGCTGTCTCTCTCGTTGACAACTTTACCAGATTGTGCATAGTGGACGAAGCGAATGCGCGGTCGCTCAAAGCCATTTTCTATACCTGCTGTCAATACTTCTAAAGCACATAGCAAAACGCTGATGGGATGCCTGCCACATATGGTGTTTTTGGTTCTTCCGAGATACTCTGTGAACTGGCGATGGCTAATTCTTTCTATAATAGCCATCCCTTCTTTATCGAGCTTTTCGATAGATTCATGAATGGGAACCGTTAGTGGCGTGGTTGATTTGTAAGACAAATTTACTATTTTGTCGGGACTAGGTGAATAATATGTGTACGAGAACCGTTGGCCCCTGCGAACGAAATATAAAGTATTATGGTTGGCAAATGGAAATGATCCTTCGATAAACGGATGATGTTAAATTATTACCAATGACAGAAATCGGAAGATATAATAAAAAGATTCTCGGGATTTTCCAGATACGGAGCTAACAGCTTTCCATAGAGTACTTCTTTGGACGTAGACAATGCTCCGACTAGAATCGGTACGATTTTAATAGAGTCGATTTTACTATTGATTAAAACCAAGAACATGTCAGTACCGCATGTTCATCTTGAGTGTTGCCATGCTCTCGTAACGATGAAGACCTCAAATTAACCTTTCCAGAATTTTATAAGTATATGGAAGATGCATTTCAATACTATGTTCAGCCTCGTCATCATCAAGACTCATATCGGTGAAATGTCCTGTACTTCCGAGTTCGTTAATAACTAAAATAAAAAAAGCGCTTGGTCATTTTCGAGTTTAAAATGGTCTAAGCTTTTAATGATAAAATTACAAACCATCAAGATCCAGAGTTAGGTTTCCCAAAGGAGTCTCGTATTCAGTACACTTGGAAAGAGCACATCCGGGAAGATAAACATGATGTGAAGGCCCTAAAATAAACACTCGTTTTCTAGAAAACACCAAGCAATAGATTTGAGGAAAAACTACCCGCCGAGCAACAAAACGCAAGATTGAGAACTTACACTACTTGAGGGTCTATGCATTTGTATGCGAACGCTGCTGCGGGACCACTGTGCAAATAGCCAGCGTGACTTTTACGAAAAGATATGTGAGTGAGTATGCAGCAGGTGGCATACATACTATATGAATTTAGAGAGCTTACGGTGCAATAATAGCGCGAGCGCCTTGAACTGGATATGGTATATTGTCTTCAGTAGTCTCGGGAACTTTTCCGAGCCATTTGGAAAGCTCCTTATTCAGGCGAGATTCTGACAGAACAGAGTTAATGACTCACGACGCAAACCCATAATTAACACCCAAGATTACTATATTGCACCTTGATCACTATACCAAGTACCAGCGTGCGCAGCGGCTCTATTCATGACGCGACACTTTGGCAAATTAGTGAAAACACAGTGGAGTGGCTCAGGTCGATGATGTAAGTGATTATGTTTGACTTTTATTTGATCGGCTTGATATAGTATAGTATGGAACTTTCCATTTATAATAAAAAATATAACTTCGGGGATCCTACGTTCTCTCATTTCCCAAAGCGTTCGTTATGGATCAACGACTACCTCCTGGTTGGAAGGCGGCATATGACTCAAATTCAGGACAGTACTATTACGTTGGTGAGCATTCATACGTTTATTTCCGGCAGTAAAGCGCTTAAAAACGTTGCGGTTGCTTAAAACCTACAGTAGTATTTACGCCTTCGTAGTAATTCTACCCTTCTAATTTTACGCGCGATTTGTATAAGATACCCGCACAGGTCAGTCGCAGTGGCAGCCTCCAGGAGACGTGACACCAAGCACGCAAACACTCTCGCCATATCCACAATATGGTTCAGGCATGCCGAGTGCCTCTCCACAGGGACAAGGCATGCCCATTGCCTCTACACAGGGTCCAACAATGCCAAACGCCTCCTCATTCGGACCAAGCATGCCTCCCTACCCATCATCAGATAGGTATTCAACCCCTCCGCCTTATACATCCACACCCTCTTATGACGTCCCTACCGCATCACCATATGGCGCCTCCCCTCATCCACCAGATCCATCCACATACACTCCTACTACTTACCCTACCGAGAAACATTCGGGAGGTGGAGAGTCGTCGAGCTACTTGGAGTCATTCCAATCACAAAACCCACCAACGTCATACCCACCAACATCATACCCATCAGGTGCTTTTAATTCTCAAGGTGCAGAAGATCCTGACGACCCTAGGGCATTTAAGCTTGGTGGTATGAATACAGCAACTGTTGCTGCTGGTGTGGTTGGTGGCGCGGCGTTGGCTTATGCATTAGGGCATAGGAAACATAAAAAGAAAAAATGGAAAGGATTTAAATGGAAAGGATTTAAATGGTAATTGTGGTATGTAAACTAGTTTTGTGAGCATGCAATCGGGCACGCGCAAGTTATGTTTATGTGGATATTCTGATCCCTATGTTGTATTTATTTAATAAAGAGCTTTATTGCGGGAGGATATAATTGTTACGCTGGGCCTGGAAATTGTATTTGTTTTTTTGTATCTTTATTAATAAACCATCTTTAAAACTGAAATCAAATGTTACTATTGAATTACCTCTTGTACTGTAGTCAGGTGACGCTTGAAGACCGTATTTCTTATTAATGATGCTTTTTACTTTTATGATGTTCTAAAAAAAGTTACAAATTAACATGCTAGCTGCAAATACCACTACAACAAGCCTCCCTCAATGTTATAAATACTCACTTAAGTGCAAATTGTAATCGATGGTGTATCCTACAAGTCCGAGAGCCAAAATAACATGCAAAATGGGCGCTGCAGACCCAGTTTCAAAGTATTTGGCCTTATACTTTCCGGCCAGACTAGTCGGCACGGGATCGACTCTGGGTCCTTTCGGGATCTTTTGGTAGAAGTCTACCAATTTAGCGAACCTCGCACCCTGTATGGCCGAGGTTCCCGCCTGCTTCACAGAGAGGGCAGGCGGAATTAGAGACTTCGTGCTGAAGCGACGAACTTGTATAAAGTTCATTTTTCTTGAGTTTTTCAGTGATCTATATTTTTGGAATCTTGAATTTATGCCGAGAACGGGCCAATTAAATGATAGATTATGCAACCAATAATATTAATATAATTATTACGAAATAATAAATCAAAAATAATAATAAAGGCATAACTACAAGAAAATTCCCCAATATTAATATTAATATGGTAGGTCTTGATTTATGATACAAGCTGTCTGTTACCAACATTGCAGATTGAATTGGCCAGAAGTTTCTGCCTTATACTTAGCCCAGGGTATATAATTACAGAGATCATGTTCTCTACTACTACTAATAGAGAAATGCAACAGGATGCATTAATTAGGATGATGCATTCTATTTTCTTGGCAAAACAAGTACTGTATTCTTTATTACAATATTTACTTTTTATTTTGTTTCATGATTGAGCCCGCTGATAATGTTTGGCAAGATACTTTGGGAGAAACTTGGCCAAAAGAATCACAGCATTATTAACAGAAGGTTGACATGATAACAATCGTACACAACAAGACGCATTTTTATTCAACACACACTAAAATTCGAGTTGTCCTGCGACATATCCGAATGCTCTTACAAGTTTGACAGTATTCTCAATAATGGGATCCACACTAGATGTCAGCACAATAGTCTCCAATGTCACTATAAATGATGACAGTTGAGAATAATACTACAGACAAGACATATGATAGCGTGTTAGTTATAAGGATAAGTATCCAAGCACTCAAAAAGTCCGACAAATAATTAGTTACTCACCACTCTTGCAATCTCTCTAAAGAAACCCCAGACCCAGTAAAACCACCACTGTGTTAATGGATCATCAATATTCTGCTGCCTATACTCCAGCAACTTTTTTGACAAAACGTCTGCAAACTTTTGAAATACCAATAACAATACTTCCTTTTGTTCCCTAGTTACCATGCTAAGCGTGTTCTCAATCTGTTGGATTGACTCTGCCTCGCTCCCCACTGCACTCTGTCGGTCTGAAGAAGAGTTTTTTTTAAGTATTCCAATAAAATGGAAATTGTTACAAGTAATTGAAGTGATTAATATGGGCAGTGAGCGAAATACACGGTTTATAAAAGCCACGCGGTGTTAATTACCATCAGATGTCATATCACCGCCTTGCTCTTCAGCTGCTTTACGCAAACTATCCAGCTTGCTTTGTATTTGGGATACACGGGAAATCACTTTATTAATTGTATTCTTAAGAATCTCCCAGATATAGGATCTGTGTGTTGTTAATTATCAATCTTCGTATAAAACGTTTTGATTAAAACAATATAATTACTTGTCGCATGGATGGTGACGTACCTAGAAACCTCCTCGTCGAATTCTTCCGAAAAAACCCACGTGACAACTGAACTTGCATCAACTACTCGATAATTCAGCAACTTGTCAAGCAGAATTCCAAGAAACTAGTTGAACGAGATAATAGTTATTATGAGAGCGTATAATAAAAAATCAATGTCGATATATTCAGTTATTCACCTGGGTATTCTTTGACCAGAAATCGGCCACTATTTTAACAGTGTGGACTCTGGCTTCGGCTGTTGTATTGTATGACTGCAACAAAGTGAGATACCTAAATTTTAAATCCGTTTCAACAAACATCCAGACATTTGTAAAAATTCCAAGGGTACTAAATTCCGTTCTCTCCACACGAAAATAGCAAACGACTGTCCACATGGCAGGTACTGACCTCTCAATCACATTGAGAACATGACTGAAACTCTTGCTACCTAGCATTAACACACATTGAACCAGGATATCCCGCATAACGTCTTCCTGTTCGTCTTCTGATGAATCGGGGATAATAGTACGAACTTCGGCAAGAATGGACTGAATTTGATCATTGGAACTTTTGCTGCGAAGTTTTCCCAAGACCTGTTGTGCCAAAGCATGATATTGATTAGCTGTAAAAAATTATACATATGTATTAGTAAACGTATCTTATTACAGGAAATACTTGAAATTTGCGTCTGCTGAATGTTCAAAAGCAAGACTTTAGTTTACCATCGCTCACATAACGAAAACTAGTTGTGGGCTCTGCTGCTGGGAATACGGCTAAAAATTCATCGGATACATTGGATTTGATCCTATCATAATAGCTATATCGTATTAACTTTTCAAACGTCTCCCGTATAAAGCAGAGTTTAGGATGAAGCGGATCCTCTCGGATGCAATCTTCCCTATTAGTAATATTTGTCGATAGTTAGTGATTGAAGAATCCCTTTAATATTCGCTGATCGAATACTAATTACCATTCTTTCCACTTCCACACAAAATTAAAGTTGCTTAGATGATGCGAAAACCAGTTCCAATAACGATAGACACATTCAACGTCCATCATATCAAGGCGGTCGAACAATATTCTTATCGCTTTACCTAAGTAAGACAAAAGCGAACCAGAATCAAGGCGCAGATACGATCATGAATTCGATAAGCAGAAGTCGGATGTAATAAAGGATATCGCAGGCGGAAAGGTGTCCGGCAGTAGTTTGCAAAGTTCTGTGAACAGAGAGTGATAATATATTATCTTATATTTAGGATGCGGCAAACTGAACATCTGCGCAAAAATAGTCTGTTTAACGGTAAAAGAGCAATTAGCTTACAAAAATTCCTTGGTGAGTCCGCCGTGCGCCAGCATTATTAAAATAAGCAAGTCCTCACCTCAACGAGCACTTGCTCAAGACCGAACCCAGGCGTATGTGTACTTCCACGCTCACTTCCTTTCATGCTTTCATCCTCCGGCTCATCCTCATCCTCATCCTCTTTCTTGGTATTTGTTCCTTCCATGTCTTCTTCCTTGATCTCGACTTTAGTCTTATCTCCACTCTCATCATCACCATCTCCCACAACCTTATTTTGACTTTCCCTTACTGTGATATTCTTATCATCACTTGCAAAAGTCCCTGGCGCGAAGAAGTATCGCAAGTCTTTAAGAATTTTGACACATTCCTTTCGATTAACTTCGAATATATCAATAACGTCCTGGACAACGTCATACATGAGGAAATAATCAATGTGGGCTGGGTCTGGGACGAGGGGTTTTGTCTGGAGAGAGGATGGTGCGTGAAGGGAATCGGGTTATAGGGCACGAAATATAAAGTATGCGGGTAAGAGAATGGGAGAAACAGAGAAACAAGATATAACTCAAACGTAGAGATAAAAATAGAGAGGACGCGTGATTTTTGTATAAACCTCATCCAGCGCGCCAACGAATATTCGGAATACTGGGTGTCTATGTGCATATTGTAGTCGATCGGAGTGAGGTGGTATATTCAACGGCTCGACTTCGTGCTGGCATGTTTCGGAATTTGATATAAATAGGATAATGAATATTGTAGTCATAATCATAAAACAAAAGCCACTAGATGATTATCATACCTGATCTGCTGTCACCAGCATTGAATCATATTCTGGCCATAAAGTCACAAGCATTGGACACTAAACAACGTAGGGATAAAATATTGTTATATATATGCAACTTTGGCTTGAGACAGAATTGTAGATTAAGTCACATACTTACAGCCCAATTATTATCTTTTATATTCAAAATTGAAGCCCACAAAAGTTCTAACGTCTTAATAACAAATCGTAATAAAAAAAATGAGCGAGTAATTTAGTTAGTAAAATTAATTCAGTGGAACCTTAGTCGTATTTACAACATATATTTCGATGAAAGCATACAATCGCAATAAATTACTTTGCTCATAAACCCTGATGGTCAAACGATAGACTTTCATAGTCGATTTCAGGCAAAGAAAAGCAATTAATTTGGATGCTTCATGCACCCAAGCACAGAGCATCTCACCAAGTATATCAACTACTTACATCACTTTGCTCATACGGTAAATTTTCAGAGTAGTAAGGTTTCGTTGCATTAAATACAACCGTGACAGAAGAATCGAGCTGTCTTCGTTCATCAAAATATTTTGCAAACTTATCTAGCAACTCATCAAATTGATTGGAAACCCTCTCGTGTAGTCGTTTACCAATCTAATTGTAAGTGTTCCGTGAGTTGATTATTTCATAAAAATAACGGATGAGGACACGTACTTACACATGGAATTGAAAGTAATATCATTTCTGCTATTGTGTCTGCTCGTAGCTTAAAAAATAAATACAACATGGCTTATGAAAATCAAGCTTTCGATGGAGATTGACCAATGTTATATAAAATATAGAAACGGCATACCCTCTTAACGCCTGGCTCGCAAATCACGTTGGCGAGAGTGTTGTATATGGATATCATGGTTCCGGGCAGTATTACGTATGCATTTGTCAATTCGGCAAAAAATTTGAGCTGGTTGTATGAATAAGATATCGGTTATAAAAAGTATCAAAAGCGACAATAATAGTATCGACCACCACATATTTTATAATATTCGTCCCATTCCTGTACGTAATACTAACCATCAGCTTTGCATTCCTCCAATTACCCTCATTCAGATAACTCTGCAAACTTTCGGCTGCCATTTCGACCACAGCAGCTCCAACAGTAGGTCGTTCTACATTTATGACGCCCACAAGAGTCGCGTACAGGAATGTCTTCATTGGTAATTCTGTCACACTATTTATCGATCAGAATGTATACTATATTAGACACTTATCATCAGGACAAACGACAATCACTCCAAACAGATAAATTGTGAAAAACACGACCAAGCCTTCAATGTTCGCAAAATCAATTCAGAATTGAGACTGAATTCGTTATTTATTATTGTAGATAACTCTGTTATCTGACCGTGCATTTCTTCAGGAGATTTCTACGAGACAATTATAGTGATTATAGAACTTTCTATTCTTCATAGCATATTCATACTAAGGAAACTATCGTACTTGATTCCCGAAGGCTATTATAATATTAGCAAGTTTCCTTTCAGAGGTTTCGTCTTCATGTTGACTAGGTGCATCAGCGTCTCCCCTGTCATAAAAACGTCGATTGTCACGAGGGCCTCGACGATCTCCATCTTTTTCACAAAAAGAGTAGAATGTGAGTTGAGCCCAATTATGAAGCAGCGTTAAACTAAACGTAGATTGAAACCTCTGTAGTTTCGTCTCCCCCCACCTTGAAATATAATTAAGAGAGGGATCAGCATCCTGGGATGTAAAAATGAAGCAAACGACATAACTGTGACCTTGCTTACCGGAATATTTGCGAAAGCCGCGGTCTTCCCAAGAGCTTTCCATAACCAACGCGATGAACTTTGAAAAAGTTGTTGAACTACAAATTTTGTGACGTTTAATGTTCGTACAACATAGTCTATACTGATATCGACAAATCAAAGCAATTTAGACGCTTGACACTATTTATGGCCTAATCGTTATTCTATCGCGATTGAAGAAGGAAGTGTAGAAAAGATAGCATTACAGAACAAGAAGTGACGATGAGGAGTTGGCTCAGCATCATTTGGCCATTCAACCAAGCAACATGTTGATAGTTGAAATGGTACGGACCCGTATAAAATATATTTGTGACTATGGTAGGACAATTCGAATATTCATAAAGAACTTTCTAACAAAGTCAAGGAATTAATATTAATAGTACAGTTCAATTAACGGATGCGCTGCATACAGTCCACACATATCAATGTTGCCTAATACTCACGGGATCACGTAATGTTTGCTCAGCAGTAAATTGCACTTCATAAGAATATTTTGCAATCATTTGATTGCTATTGTTGATAATGTCTACCTTACCTACCAAATTTGACCATCATACTATTACCATAGTTATTGTTTCTACTATAATCTTTTCTGCGCTATACCCGCAGCGTTAATGCTAGAACAAAAGATTCAATTGCTAAACGAATATGAGTAAGTATTCTACAAAGATCTAACAGATGCAAAACTCATATAAAATCGATCAACTTGGAAGAATAAAGAGTCCATCGAAGCAGAGTTAAGAGAATGCTCAAGGTTAGAATCATTGGAAAGCTCAACATCCATGATTTATCAATAAAGAGCGTTCTAATGTCTGGGTATTGCCAGTAGTCATAGTACAAATGTAAAATGGAAGCTTATGATTTTGTGTGGATTATAGATATTTATTTCACGCGGTGACATCACTGCTTTTGCGATCCAAATCCTCGAACTCCTTCACCAAATCCCCACTCGGAGGATACAGAATACGGTTCGGTTATCTCCACCCCGGCAGCTGTCACTTTAGCTCGTTGTATGCTATTTATTACTTTACAGTCTCGATAAAATAATACTCTCATACAACTGTTTAAGAGCTCGATTGCTTCTGCTTCTGTAAGAAGACCCTCGCGGCCTTCAACAGCTTTACGAAGGATAGGTTGTGCATAATATGCCCCAAGGCCTGTTGAAATTGCGGAAGATTGATACGTTGTACCGAGTAAGTCAACGTATCCCAGGAATCTATGTATCGAAAAAGCTTGAGATGAAACGTGTCGAGCAATTTCATTACTTAGCAATGTGGCAGACATACCTTTCGCCATTATTGTATCCTCCGACAATAAATGTATTCCAAAGTGGATCCATTTTTGTTCTTCTATGATACATGACACGACTTAAATATTCATATACATGCGGAGTTGATAATACATGATCATCGTTGATGTAGTATTCCTTTATCCTAAACATTCCAATAGCATTGTATTTTCAGTCACATATGTTGACCTATTATTACTGTTCATGTTAACCGCTTCTCCAGATAACTTACATGAGCGAATCCAACATATGTTTTGTATATTGAAAATCAGACATGTCTCCAGCGTAGGCAATTGCTGTAAAATTGCCAACAGGATATAATCTCTCCTCCTTTCTGTATCGAGCAAGTTGACCCCAGGAACCTAAGATTCACACTCCTGCTTTAGCTCTCGAAGCGGTTTCGATCAAACCGTCTAAAATGCCTATTCGACAGTTACCTAAGGTATCGGCGGCAAGCATCACACCATCCTGATATACCACTCCGAGAGTGGTACCCCCCCAAACCTTGGGTGATCTGGCACAATTTGTCATTAGTCAATCGCTATTTAACATTCGTGGAAGTATTGATATCCTTGTATTCACTCACTGAGTCCGTTGTATAATACCGCCAGCCGAATGACTCGCATTTATTGGGTTATTGCCGTAATGGTTAAACGAGTTGTTAGAAAAAGGGTCGAAGTTCCACTCCATGATCTTCGTCCGCGTTGGGAATGGAGAACAAAAAAATGGGAAATTACGCACTACTAGTAAACGTCATCTGGATGTTGATTGGATTTGATGAGCCGACAAACTGAACGCGCCACAGAATATTAAATCCGTGTTCATAAGTTTTATTTAAGATAAATTCAATATTCCAGACAAAAGAAGCTTGCAAGACATTTATCCTCGCAAAAGGATGAAAACATTTGTAACTTGTGATAACAAGTATGCCTTGCTCAAGGTTAAAAAAGAAACATTTACCGTATTTATGTCATTGCTAACTATGTCATAAACCACGAATTAAGCTAAAACCTCACCATGACGGTGATAATTACACGAATAAAGCATTGTTGGACTCCGAGTTTACTCTTATTCGCGAGAATTTTGGTGGGCTTTATTAAATGATTATATATATAATATGTATATATTATACACGGTTTCGAACTCAATAACTAAATAAACACCCCTTTTCACCATCTCTATCAATTAAACAAAAGTCTACAGCCATTGCATCCAAGTGAAATCCATCCCCGCGAGGTTCTGCGGATTAGTGGCCTTTGCAATTAACTCGAGAATACCATGATTAACAATAACCTTCGGATCCTTTGGTGGCTAACGAGATGCAGAAATAATTATTATTAGTACATCGAAATGGTATACGTAGCCATAATCAGTAACAATGAACTTCATCAGTCACCTTTTCTCGAACGTCTTTACATGACAATTCACGAGCCCTCTGTACTATTACGTTTACGTTTGTAGTAATTTTCTGCTTTAATTGAACTTCTGTGCATTGCTTTTGATTCATGAAAAACCATGCAGCTACTTCGTCTCGTACAAATATGCTTAGATATTGACTCAAATCAAACTATAATATTGACGCCGTTAGTAATACACCACAACGCCCAATTTCATAGACAAACAATATTTCTAAATACAAACCTCTGGATCGATAAGGCTTTGTCCGATAGCCATCAACGAGCTGGCGAAGACACCCTCTACTCCAATGGGAGTCATAAAGGTTTGCAAATTGCGTGTAAGTCTGAACGGCACACTTTCAGGTGTTGCCATCAATGGCGACACGGCCAGTACTAATATAGGAGGAATAGAGATGTTAATTGAAAGGCAGACGTAAATAAATGATCAAGTCATTCAATGACAATTAGTAGTCGTTTGTATTCACCATAATTTGCCATGTTCGGCGTCAAGTCCGTCATCCATATGTTTCCTGTATTCGTTGAAATAATGAACTTGGGCGGGTGTCGTTGTCCAACGGCCATCGTATATGTCATGAACGTAATTGATGCCATTTGCTTAGTGAATTGCTTTCTCAGCATCCATAAATCAGAATGCGATTTCATACATCGTGAAAGATATTTTGATAGTATATCGGATGGAATAAACTTGGCTGCAATATCTTCCGCAACTTCCAACGCTTGGTTAGTTAACTGGATGTTACCCTGCTATCGGGAAAATAGGAAATATACGATAACGCGTCAATGTTACAACTTGATGAGCTTTACCTAACAATTTCTAATATCATTATGACTACGTTCAGAACTATCTTTTACTGTGCTATTATTAACATAAGCAAATGATATCGTAAATTCACCTGAATGTTTTGAGGCATGTTCCTTCTCATCCTATTAGCATAATAGAAGAGTATCTCATCCTTTCTGATACCGTGAGTATCACAATAATCCTCATATACATCCTGTAACGACACATACGAAGCATCGTCCTCAATTATTCTTAACTGAGGAGCCAATGGCACGATCAACGGAACATGGAAGAACAACTCCCGCCTCCTACTTTCTTTCTTCCTTGCCAATACACTATTCAATATTCTGAATAATTGTATAATTTTCTCCTCCCGTCTACAGTGTTTTGTCACTGGTTGCTGAACAGCAAACGGATGTAGGCTACCGTCATATCCTCGGAACGTGAGTCTACGATAACACCATCCATGTGATCTGATTGAATCTACCTCAGGCATGACACGCTCAATGCGAATAAAGTCCGTGTTAGTGTGATCGCGAAGGAGAAGATATTGTCCAGGCATATCTATTTCATCAAATTTTTGATGCTGGAGTTCGGCAAGATAGTTTGAAAAATGCTCGAGATGATGTTTACGAGGTCTACTATCGAGCGTTGTCTCAATCCTGTCTCGCAATTTACGGAGGCTTTCCACGTATTGGAAAAGGTCAGGCTTACTCTGAATAAATTCTTCGCGGAACGCTTTCTACAAAGACAAGCAAAAACATTCAGCGAATATCGGCAAGAAAGAGAGTAATAACAAACTTTTTCCTATAATTACAACTTGCATACTTGAAAAGGACCAGCAGGAAGACTATTAGCAAATCGTTTGATATTTTCTTCTGTTGCTTTACTCAACGCTGTTTCGTCTACTCCCTTACTGACTCTTGCCGTAATTTGCTATTAAAGAATGAAGAGTTACTAACGTTATTAACAGATAAAGTAGCAGGTTAGACATATCTCTTTGTCTGCTAAATTGCCTGTTACCTGTACGCCATCATTAAACAGAGCTACAATCAATCTATAAATATCTTCATCGGAAGTAGACCTCAGCCTCACTCGAATATGTTCAACCATACTCTCAAGTGTTAAAGACAAGGAAGGATAAGTTGACTTTAAGGCCGACATTATGTCTTCAATGTGTTCCCAAGGCTGCCTATTGATATTCGGCTTTTGCTGTTGCTGTTGCTGTTGTTGTTGTTGCTGTTGCTGCTGTTGTTGCTGTTGCTGCTGTTGTTGTTGTTGTTGCTGCTGCTGCTGCTGCTGTTGTTGTTGTTGTTGTTGTTGTTGTTGCTGCTGCTGCTGCTGCTGTTGTTGTTGTTGTTGTTGTTGTTGTTGTTGTTGCTGTGGTTGCTGCTGCTGTTGTTGTGGCGGTGGTTGTTGTGATTGCTGACTTGTTTGTCCTGGTACTGAATGAGGTGTCTGAGGTGTCTGTGATGCAACGGGACTGGCTTGATTGAGGTTCACTGTATGTGGACTCATTGGATTAGGACTACTCTGTCCCGTGCTTGATGGAGCTGGTATTACTATTCCATCGTTGCTATTAGAAGGTGTTGTTGGGTTGGGAGTTGCTGGAGTATTAGGAACAGATGTGGATGCTGTGGATGCTGTGGATTGAGCAGAACGTTGAGCCGCATGATTTTGCGATTTGTTTGCATGTTCTTCTCTGCACGCTCGTAAGTGAAAATAGAGAGCCTTTGATAAAGTCAAAATTGTATTTAGTACGTGCATTTAGTGTCTTATGCAGTGAAATGAATTTTTACTTACTTGAGGATATTGTTTGGCTATTTTTGTCAGTATATAGCGTGCTTGACGTGCTTCTCTGTGCTGTAGACAAACGATCAACTGTGGTATAAATGTAATCCAATACCATGTCGGTACGTCTCCCTTACTAACATAGGATTCAAATACTCCTGCTAATGTTCCCTGAGTGTCGTCAGTAGCTAGTAGCCACAGTATACGAAGTAATAATTTCCTTGACTTGTGATTGTTATACAACCCAGCAGCTTGCAAGTAACAACTCAATGCATTTGTTGCATGGGATATATCGTTTGGTTCCAGTTGATATTTTCTATCGTTATGATGTCCCCACGCTGCCCATGCTTTAGACAGACGGAAGTCAACCTGAACTGCTGTTGCGAAGCTCGAGTTTGCTTCCTGGTCTTTATTCATTTTAGCAAGTATCATTCCTTTCAAAGTGTGAAATTCGGCCTTCTGCTGATGACCGAAATAATTGAGATTTGTATTGTTTATCACATCAAGTGCGAGGGGAAGTTCGTTTGTATTGTGATAATGGCATTTTGTTTGCTCTCTTAGTTTTAGAAAAGCTTCTTGTATTTCAATATTAGGCAAAGAGTAAATTTGCTGTAAAAAGCTCACACACACTTCAGAAAGCGCATGCTTCCTAGCAACGTGTGCGAATCTATTAATTATCCAAGCAGTTTCATGATGGCCTCTAAACGCAAAATTATTATTAGACGTCGAATTGCCTGTGGATTGTTGATACGGTTCATAAGCACGATTAACCATTCTGAATATGTGTTTGCGCCATGCCACTAAATCGCTCCAAATGTTAATATCCTCCCATACGTTAGGTAACCTTTCTCTCCAGCTTTGGAACACTGATTTCATCTCAAATGCCTTGGCTTCCGCATTCGAACTACTCAGATTGTTCAGAGTCGTGAGTAGCTTATTCGCATCTTCCAGTTCAATGTACTGCTGGAAAATTTGCAGCAGAGGAATATGACTTTGCGATATGATTCCAGGGAGTGAATGCCACTTGCGTAAGGTCAACTGAAGCATCTCATCACATGCCTTCTTAAACACATCTGTATTCTTTTCTTGTTGAGCATTCACGAATGCTAGGAAGGATTCAAAAACTTTCCCTCTAGGAGTAGGCTCATGAGATATTTGTTGTATCGTATGTTCAATAAATTTTACTTCATCCATCCAGTTGTGTAGACGCCATTCGCATTCAAGTATTAGATCCGCGTTGTTCTCATTCTTTGCATAATCTAAAAGAATGTCCCATTGTTGTAATCTCTCAGCACATGATAGCCAATGCTCTTCCCACAGAAGATATTCTGGTTCAGTAAGTGGCAACCCACCAGATCGACCTTTACTCTGGGCAATTCCGTACGCCAGTTGTGCTTCTAACCACATGCCGCATTGTTCATATGAGACAGCTGCGCTCGTCTCTGCATGTAAAGACCTCTGACGCCATAAACCAGCGTACATGTCGTCTTCAGATAACGTGGCATATAAATCGGCCAACGCATCTAATGTACCATCCTTGAATTTGTCCTCATCTCGATGTGGAGCATTTGTGTGCTGTTGTAAAAGCTCTAACGCTGTATGCCATGCGCAAAAAGTCCTCCCAATGTATTTAATCAAATGGGGTGGTAACTTCATAGGGGGTACGCATCGAGATACACCATCCAACAGGGCTTGAACAC